TCTTCCTGGGGATGGACTCCAGCAGCCTCTGATGCCACCAAGAAGCCAGACCATGTTCTCTGCTCAGCCTCAGAGCTCTTTTCAGACCTCAGAAGCAGAGACTGCCCAGAACTCTGGGAGCGGCTGACATGGCTGAGGATTCCAGGTTGCCTTACCCCAGCTGAATACACCTTGCACTTGGCAGGGAGCAGCTGTGCCAGGAAAGACAAACTCTCCAGCTGAAAACCATTCCCTGGGGTGTCAGAGCCCAGCCTGCTGCCGTTGTGGAGACCCTTTGATGGAAGGAGCATCCCTCCACCTCAAAGCCATCGTGCTGAAGGGCTTCACGGTGCTGTGTCTGGCCAGAGCTCCTCCTGGCCCTGGGCTCCGTGTCCACCCATGCTCCTCTTCCCACCCAGCTCTGCCACCAAACAAGGAGATGAAAACTACTGGCAAAGTTTTGGGATGCTCAAGTTTTCACCCACAAACTCTCTCTCCATGAATGAGTGGCATTAATGAGTGAGGAAGCCTCATGCACTGGTTCTGTGTGTCAAGGACCAGTTGTGGGCTCCGTGAGCTTCTTCACACCTGGATCCTGAGCATCACCTGAGCTGCTTGCACGGACATCCTTCTCCCAGATAAAGCTCTGTCAGTGATTTTAGTTAAGTTTCTATTAATCAGATTTAAATCTGTGCCTTTAATGCAACCCACTATGGGAATTTATAACGTTTCAAGCAGATGTTTTAATTCAGAGCACTTGAATGTTGATTTGTCTGAGAATGGCAAATCCAAAGATTTCCCTTTTAAGAACAAGTCATGTTCAAATAGGTTTTCCAATGCCTTATGTAATGGTGAAAAATTAAGTCTTAGCTAAAGCAGCATCTAGTATAAATTTAATTGGAAACTAAATTAGGGCACTCATTTTGCAGGAACACCTTGGTATTATGGAAGAGCAACGGGACAGTTTCTGATTCCACGTAATTTTACCATTTCCCATTACATTAATTTCTTTCTTCAAGTCCTCGTTTTCCAAGAGGCATTTCCCGGCGAGCCGGGGCAGGGAGGAGCGCGGCCGTGGAGAGCTCTGAGCTGTGCAGGCTGTGCCCTGGGCAGGAGCCTGGGCGAGCTCTGGGGGAGGCTCAGGAGCCGGACCCATCCAGCACAGAGCCGCGGAACGGGGCTGGAACAGCCCGCACGCTACCAAGTAAATAGATGCGTCTGCCTCTGATTTGCGTGTTTATCTTAGAAGCAATTTAGGTTTCTCCTTGTTTACAAGAGCCGAAGTCAGCAGACTCTCCGCAAGAAGAACAGCTTGGAAGGCGGCGCATGACGGCTGTGTCCTGCTCGTCGGGCACCGGGACGAGCTCCCGCAGCCCCCGGAGCATCCCTGCGGCTTGCAGGGACCAGGGGGGCTGGCAGGGAGAGAGCAGGGCTCCAAAGCCCCTGCCCTTGGAACGTGAGGTGTCCGTCCCCCGCCGCTGCTGGGAGAAGCGAGGAGGGAGGGCAGGAGCAGCGGCTCGGCCCCGCAGCCCAGCCCAGCCCGGGCGCTCCGAGCTCGGGGGCGCTCGGCGAGAGGCGACGCTGCAGCAGCGCTCAGCCCAGGCTGGCCACAGGGACGGTGCCAGCCCTCGCCCGGCTGGGCAAACGGCTCTGCAGCCGGCAAAGGGCGATGCCGGGGCTTTGGGCACCCTGAGGAGGCAGCGGCGAATGGAATCGCGTCGGACAGAGCGGGGGATCCTTATCCCCACGTGTACTCAATTATCCACTTCCTTCTTCCCTTCCTCCAGCTCCCCCTCACTGCAGACTGCCCAGCTCCTGCCTCTCTCCTCCCAACCCTGAAGTCCAGGCCTGAGCAGCCTCCAGCACCATGAGTTGTCTCTCACAGACTTTTCTGAACCCAGGGCTTGGGTTGTGTGGGGCTTTTTTCAGCTGGAAAATTCAGATTTCCCCAGAGAACAACTCTGCAGAAGTGTGCCACTTCCAGCACAGCTTCATTTGTTCAAAAACAAAGTTCTGATAAGGCAGCTGGGGACTTCTCAGAACATCCATTGTCTTTCCCATTGCAGTGTTTTTAAAATGTCACAGATTTTGAGAAATAAAATTGGAAGGGATGCTTTCATCTATCCAAAACAAATGTTTGGGTTTTTTCCCTCCCAAAACTCTGCTTGGCAGAATTTTTTGATGTTCCTTGTCTTGCTGCATTTCAGAGTAACTGAACCCAACTGGAGCATTTCTCACCAAGTGGAAGCTTTCATCCTTGCCGAGATAACCACAGCCTTTCCAGGACATGGGAGGAATTTTCCCTTTAGTTGTGTGTTAGATTTCAGTACATAAACTCTGAAGGAATCCTGTAGGCACTGTTGTAAATCCACTGCCACGGGCAAAGGGAGATGCAGCCACTGACCCTGGCAGTTCTGGGGTGCACATGGTGAGGTGCTGCTGCAGCAGTTGGTGCCCTTTGCACTACTCTCCTTCCACTTTCTCCTGCTGATAATGTTTGTTCTGATCTGGGTATTTGGCAGGAGAATTAAGGAGCAGTAATTAGTTTCCAGTGTGAAAAAGGGAGTGCCTAGTGTTTATCTTGTCTGGAGGGTTTCCCTTGATCTCAGTCTCCCAGGGGATGCTGTTAGTGCTTTATCCATCACTCTCCAGTCCGGGAGCAGCTGCTGTGTCCCAGCCCACTGCTGTGACTGGAGACCAGCGCCCCAGCTCAGCAGTGCTGGTGCAAGGCAGGGGATGGGGTCCTCACAAGGCCCCTGGTGAGGTGGCCCATCACAGAACATTTTAGCTTTTCCAGTTTCCCCAGCATCACTATTCTCCAGCAAAGAGAAGCTTTGGCTACTGGACCTCCATCCTGCAACCTGCTGCCTCCCAGCACCTCATCACTGCTCTTGCCAGCACAGGCAGGGGTAAGCCATCCATCCCCATCCTTGCTGGGCAGAATGAATTTAGGGCTGGGGACCTGACCATGCTTCCCCGTAGGAATTCTGCAGTCCCACTCGATGCCACCGTGCTGGTGGGATGCTCCTCTGCCGTGCCCTGCCTCCCGCAGGAAGGAATGGGTTGCTCTCACAGTCTGGCACGAGCGAGGCAGTGAAACACCCACAGTCGGCAGTGCTTGAGGAGCTCCTGTTGGCTTTTCTTTCCCTAACAGCTTCTGCTACTTCCCTGTTCCTCTGCTTCAGGATGAAAGGCTGGTGAGCATGCCTGTGATAACAATGCTCGCTGCCCCTTGGAGTCTGGTCTTGCAAAGCCATGGGGAGCTGGGTTTATTATCCTCAGCTCCAGCCCGAGATGACCTTGTGCTTCTGCCAGCATTTAAACAACATATTTTAAAAGAGGGAACAGATCCCATTGCTTTCTGTGCTTGCAGGGCTTTCCTGAGCCTGGGAGCTCTCTCTGGGGTGGATAGAACTGAGAGAACATGTCAAGAGAGAGACAATGAAATATTGTCCAAGCTTATTGCTTTTTATTATTATTGAAGGAAGGTTTTTGCTTCCAGTCTGGGGGTTAGAAAAAATCTGAATATCACCCAAACCTCATCCCTTCCAGCCAGAATCCCAGCTCCTGGCTCTGCGGCAAAAATCATCCTCAAGCACAAGCAGCCAGAGGGGTGAGCGGGTGGTGCAGGCGGGAGCTGACTGGGATGGAAAATTCCATGTCGCTGCCATTGTCCGGGCTGGTGTGAGAGTGCGGGGCAGAGCTCAGGTCCCTCCCCCGTGGCTGTGGAAAGCTGCCCATGGGGCTCAGCCAGGCTCTGGCAGGCTGCTCTTTGTGCCGTGTCTTCTGCTCCCCACTGCTGCAGGGAGGGGACCGCGATACAGGCGGGACACGAGATGGGAGCCACAGCAAAGCTCTGCCAGTTATGGAGCTTCAGGGCACGAGAGTAAATGTGCAGGAGATGCTCAGAGAGGAATCGACAGCTGGGGGATAGCAGTGTGAGTAAGGAGTGCAGCACCAAGAGAAGAGGCTGCTCCTCTTCCTCGCAGGTGTGTGTGCCATGGACATTCCCGACAAAAGCAGGCAGGAGACAGGGCAGAGCCTGCATCAGCCGTGCTGGGCTCAGCTGGGCTCCATCCTGCTGTGCTCAGCAGGGCTGAGCGACAGCGCGGGGATGTTGGGAAGAGGGTGGGAGGGAGGTTTTGCACATCAGCAAGTTTCTCTGCTGCTGCCCCAGGAGTTGACACAGCCCAGGCTTATGGGAGACATCCCGTGACTCACAGCACCCAGAGCTGGCTGTCTGCGGGGGGAGATGAGCTCCACAGACTCCCTGCTTCTTCCTGCAGGGATGCACACACTGAGAAAGGCTCTGCTTGCTCCTGGCTGGTGCAGTTTGGGATTGGTTTATTAAACAAAAAGTCAGGGATGGCTCAGCTGTGCCCTGTCCCTGTGTCCTGCCTGTCTGAACCACAGCCCCAGGCAGGTCTTGACATGTGCTTCACAGCTCGCCCATGCCAATGGGATGCTGCAAGGGGGCACAGTGCTGTGTGGAGACGCTCTGGGAGGAGCCTGGAGCAGCTCTGACACAGCTAGAAAGGAAAGAGGGAAAGCTAGACTTCAATATAAGGCCCATCAAGTAGGGTGAGGAGCTGGTGTCACTTGGTTTGTTCAGCTGGAGGAGGCTGAGGTCAGACCTCATTGGGGTCTGCAGCTTCCTCCTGAGGGGTACTGAAGGGGAGCTCTGATCTCTCCTCTCTGTGACCAGGGACAGGACCCAAGGCAATGCCTGGAGCTGTGTCAGAGGAGGTTTAGGCTCGATATTAGGAAATAGTTCTTCTCCCAGAAGGTGGTTGGGCATTGAACAAGCTCCCCAGTGCACTGGTCATGGCCCCAAGGCTGCCAGAACTCAAGAAGTATTTAGACTATACTCGCAGTCACGGGGTGGGATTTTGGGGATGTTCTGTGCAGGGCCAGGAGTTGGACTCAATGATCCTTGTGAGTCCCATCCCACTCAGGATATTCAGTGATTCTGAGTCCCCTCTGCAGGCAGGGCAGTGATGTGGCACCATTCTCTCCCGCAGGTACATCGGGGCACTGGGAGCGAGGGTGATCTGTGATAACATCCCCGGGCTGGTGAACAAGCAGCGACAGCTCTGCCAGAGGTACCCTGACATCATGCAGTCAGTTGGGGAGGGAGCCAAGGAGTGGATCCGGGAGTGCCAGCACCAATTCCGGCACCACCGCTGGAACTGCAGCACCCTGGACCGGGACCACACTGTCTTCGGCCGGGTCATGCTGCGAAGTAGGTTCTGCCCTGTCCCTTTCCCACCACCGTGTGCCTTGTCTTCCTGGGAGAGTCTCTCCTCCCACTGGGCTGCCTTGCCTGGTGGCTTGGATTACTCCCTGAGGAGAGCTTTGCTTTTCCTTGTAAATTAATCAAGTAGTAATGGGAGCAGAGCACTGCATTTGGAATAGCTGCACCAGATGAAATGGAGCAGGGGGAGCACTGGGGGAGAAGGGCAAAGGAGGAGACACCTCCGGAGAACAGGCTCATATGTAAACAGTAATGGGATATATAAATATTTGGAGAGCGGGGTTGGCCAGGACTCAGCAATTCACGTGGGAACTGGCTGTTCCCTCACATGGCAAGGGAGGCAAGGCACAGATGCAGCTCCAATCCTTGCTCCAGGCTCCGAGGTGGAGGAGGACCTACGGGGCAGGTGCCAGCCCTGCACAGAGGACTGGGCATGGCCCCTGCCCGGGAGAGACCTTCCCACTCCAGGTGAGGGATGGATACAGCTCAAGCAGGAATGCACCCAAGAAATGTAGCCAATGAACAAAGAGGAAAGGCACGATGGGGACAGGGATGGGGCGGCTCCAGAGCAGGAGCAGCATCATGGGCTCCAGATGCCCCGGGAGTATTCGGGGAACAAACAGGCCCTGGGAGCGGGCTCAAGCCCCGGCACAGGCAGCAGCACTGCAGGACAGATGCTGCTGCATCCCATGGCGTGCTGGGAGCATCCAGCCATGTGGCCTCCAAATCAAAAGCGTCTGGAAGAGTCTTTCCACTCGCAGCTCGTATGGAGGACACGTGAGCACCATAGGAGGAGCCGGTGAGTGGGGGGCTTGCTCCTAGCTGGCAGGGGGATGGGGCAGCTACCTGTGGGGTGGACAAGCAGCAGAGCCACGAGCCAGATGCCCAACCTGACTGGAGGGAAGGGGACTGGATTGCTGAATGTAGCATTCACCCTGCCATGCTGCAGCCTGCCTGCTCAGCCTCTCTGTTCCCATCACGGCACCTTTTCTCCTGCTCGCATCCTCTCCTGGCAAAGAATGGGGAATGATGAAAGCTCCTCGCCACAGCCCCATCCTGCGAGGCCCAAAGAGAGCTCTGCTGCCTTTGAAGTTGCTTTCAAAGGCTCTTGAAATGAAGACTAACATGGTTTTGATTTGCAGCTTCTTTTACAACATTATAAAAACAGCTGCGAACTTGAACCAGAGACATAAAATAGCAGGCGGCAAGCTGTGCTGTGCGGGGAGAGGAGAGCCTGGCCAGAGCTGGCACTGCCTCCACGCTCCGCACAGCACCAGGAGGGAGCACAGGGAGTGGCCCTGAAGAAGGATGCTGGCTGGTCTCAGCACCCGTGGCCATGACATTGCAATTAGTGTGAAGGGCTCCCAGGAAGCCGAGGCTGGACGCTGTGGTCAGCAGAGCTTGGATTACCCCCATACAGGATGCTCTCGCTCCCCACGCCCCGGATCTTCATGGGCTGCAGGCACTGGGCACAGCCTGGCACACTGACGCCCTATCCCTGTTTCTCTCCCCGTGGCAGGCAGCAGGGAGGCCGCCTTCGTCTACGCCATCTCCTCGGCCGGGGTGGTCTATGCCATCACACGGGCGTGCAGCCAAGGGGACCTCAAGGTGTGCAGCTGTGACCCGCTCAAGAGGGGCCGCTCCAAGGATGAGCGCGGGGAGTTCGACTGGGGCGGCTGCAGCGACAACATCAACTACGGGATCCGCTTTGCCAAAGCCTTTGTGGATGCCAAGGAAAAAAAAGTGAAGGATGCTCGGGCGCTGATGAACCTGCACAACAACCGCTGCGGGAGGATGGTGAGTGCAGCCCCTGCGGCAGCGCCCAGCGCTCGCCCCTCCCACGGACACCCTCCCGAGGGGCCTGGGCAGCTGGAACAGCTTGGCCAGAGAAACGGGGCATCTTTGGAGGGCAGTTCCTGCTGTGGATAAGGCTGGATGCTGCCCTGCCTTGCCAGTGCTCCCCTGCACGCTTTGCCCTAGGGAATGGCCACACAGGGATGGCAGGACCTCGCTTACCTTTGCCTCCTGTGCCCTTGCTGATGCTGGCACCAGTGACCTCCGTACACAGCCCCGTCTCCCATTGGGAACCCCATCCCACACAGCCAAGGGCTGATAAGCTGCACCAGGAATGAGCAGACACTGGTGCAGTGCCTGATGCCAAAGATCACCACTGGTCCTTACCCATCCCTCTTCCCACAGGCTGTGAAGCGCTTCCTGAAGCTGGAGTGCAAATGCCACGGGGTCAGCGGCTCCTGCACACTAAGGACTTGTTGGCTGGCAATGTCAGATTTTCGAAAAACAGGGGATTACCTAAGGAGGAAATACAATGGGGCCATCCAGGTGACAATGAATCAGGATGGCACTGGCTTCACAGTGGCCAACAAGAACTTCAGGAAGCCCACAAAAACAGATCTGGTGTATTTTGAGAACTCACCTGACTACTGCGTGATGGACAAGTCAGCAGGTAAAACCCAGAGCTCCAGTCATCACCCAAAAACATCTCTTCCTCCCTTCCCAACAGGCCAGCAGCTCCCAGCTAGTCCAGCTCGGGGGCTCAGCTCCCCCACTGAACCCCAGTCTTTGGAGAGGAGTTACCCAGACCCAGAGTCCCCACAGCACCCTACACCTGCACAGACAGGACTGCATTTGTCCAAAATCTCCAGGCTTTACCCCAAGGCCCCAAACCTCTCAGGCTTCTGGTCTTCACAGAAGTGGAGTGTATCCTCAGAGCCCATCTTCTGCAGAGCAAAGCTCCCCTGAACAGGCAACAAAGCTGTTCTGTGCACAGGCTGCCAGCTGCTCCTCTGAACACAGCCCGAGGTTGTGATGGGATTGGGGAAGAGGCATCAGGGCTGCCGGACTCCTGCAGAGATGAGCAATGGTTTCTCAGCCTGGAGCATTCCCAGTTTAGTTTGCAGCAGCCATGGGAGTTTGGTGGGGAGCATATGGTCCTACCATCCTCAGCCTGAGCACTGAGCTCTGAGCTTTTCCAGCTGCAAAGCCTGGCTCGGTGGGCACACACTGCTCCAGGGGTCCCCCAAAGCACAGAGGGGCTGCAGAGAGCCCATCCCTGTCCCCTACAGCTCTTTTGCTCTGGCAATAGCAAACACAGGCTTGAGCAGTGGGCATGGGAAAGGGGCCATGCAGATTGTCATACAAACCCAGAATGTTTGGGGTTGGAAGGGACATGAAAGATCACCTCATTCCAACCCTCCATCATGAGGGGCATGGGAGACACCAAAGCTGCATCCCTGGCCGGGCTTGTGGGATCCCATGTCCATAAAGCAAGTGCAGGCTTTGAAGTGGAGCCTTTGGAGACCCCACTGCAGCACGTGCTGTGACAGGGACAACGGGACCTCCCCACTAAAGCAGTTGCCCCCAAGGTCTCCACGGTAGAAGGAGACGTCCAGTGTCACCAGTAACTCCTGTGGGTGGGTGGGGAAGTGCCGGAGCACGATGGAGAGGAGCACCCTGACCTGCTGTCGCTTCCTCCCCAGGCTCCCTGGGCACGGCTGGCCGGGTGTGCAGCAAGGTGTCCCGCGGGACGGACGGCTGCGAGGTGATGTGCTGCGGGCGCGGCTACGACACCACGCGCGTCACCCGCGTCACCAAGTGCGAGTGCAAGTTCCACTGGTGCTGCGCTGTGCGCTGCAAGGAGTGCGAGGACACTGTGGACGTGCACACCTGTAAAGCACCCAAACGGGCTGAGTGGTTGGACCAGACCTGAGGAGATGGGAGCACTGAGGGAAGAAGCCACTGCCACCCCCCTTGCGATGTTTTTTAAACCCTTGCACCCTGAGGGCCACGATGTTCTGGGAGCTGTAGTTCAACTGCATGGCTTTTATTTAATTAATTCTACAAAGCACTAAGGAAAGGACTACAGTTCCCAGGAGGTACTGTGGGCCCTTCGATGTGCTCAGCAAAACTAATCCCTGACCCAGCAGGAGGCTGTGATCCTTGCTTGAACTGTGAACCTGCAAAGGTTCTCCTGGCAAAGGGACAGTGCAACCAATACAGATTTGGAGGACTGACTATCAGGACGTGATGGCTGAGGAATCCTGCACCTCCCCACAGAATCTACGTTACAGTAAAGCTTCACCAGCGAAAAACACTAGTTCAGAATAATCCACTCTTGCAAAAGCATTCTTGCTTTTCCTTTTTTGCAAGGCCAGAGGAAGGGTGTTGTGAATCTGTAAGACAGTTCCATGACACCCGTGTTTCCCTCGAGCAGACCTGACACATCACTAACCCCACTGAGCAAGAGTCACCTCCGCACGAGGCTTGTCCCTGTGTCCCCAGCACAGGGAACCAGTGGAGCTGTAACTTGGAACTGAACCCTGAAGGACTGCACAGAGACAAAGGCCACCTCTAGATGCTGGTGGGGCGCCTGAGAGAGCAAATGAGACCTGTGAACTTCCTGGTAGGTTCTGAAGTCAACGATACAACAGCATCTCTGTACAACTCGTGTATGTTGTGTATACTGCTTATTTTAAGTCAAAATTCATTATAAAACTGTATCAGAAAATGACGTCCTTTGCTTTTTGAATTCTTACACCCTCAGCCGGGCATGCCCCCAGAGCAGGAACCAGCCTGCAGTCTTTGTCTTCCCTGCTGTCTGCAGCTCCTGCTTGTCCCAAAGCTTCCTACAGAGCTGAGCATCCAAAGCCCCAGGGGAATCCTGTCTCAGCAGCACCACGCTTCAGGACATGTGGATGCCCCATCCCCACAAGTGTTTAAGGCCAGGCTGGGCAGGGCTTGGACCAACCTGGTGGAGTGGAAGGTATCCCTGCCCCTGGCAGGGGGTGGAACAAAATAAGATTTAAAGTCCTGTACCACCCAACCATTCCATGGTTCTATAGCACTGGGTTGAGCAGGATATGCTAAATAAATTTTCCCATTAGAAAACCCCCAAGCACTCTAAACATAATCAATTAAAATTGAAGTTGATGAGGGGAGGGGAAGGCAGCTGCCAAGCTACTGGCAGGTAAGTTACAGTCCACCCCTCATCACTACAAATTTCTTCTTTTCTCCACCAGTTTGAGCAAGCAGACATTATAAAAATGCTTTATTTAGTATACAGATATTTTATGGAGTCTGGTCAAAAGGTCCCAATCCACACAAACAAGTGCAATGTGTAACAGTTGAACCTGGAAACCAAAGTGACCCAGGTAAAAAATTACCTTAAATCATTGCAATTGCTGAAGCTGAGGGTGCTCCTGAAGTTCCCCCACCAGATCAAGGCTGCACCTTGCCCCAGGCAGGCTGTGCCTCCTCCCTCAGTCAGGAAAAATGGGGTTCATTTTCCTAATATTGCTCAGCATTGTGCTGACGGGCAAGTAAGGGCATTTCACACAGAGGAAGTTTTCATGGAAGTTCCAAACTTGTAACAATAAGAAAGGCCAAGTCAGCAGGGACATTCACCTGCAAATACTTTTTGCTGAGTCTGTTTTACTGCTGCAGAGGGCATGTCAGAGGCCCCTGAGAAGCTGGGGTTTTCTCCTGGAAGCCGTGAGATGTGTGGGCAGGAGGGAGCTGAGCAGGCTACAAGAGCAAAGTCTGAAGGAAGCTCAAAGGAGCAGGACGGGATTAAGGCAAAGAAGATTATTCTGGTCCTAAGCCACCCATCAGCTACTGCACCAAGAGCATCTCCAAACAGGGACTTCACTCAGTGGCCCTAGGAAATAATAGTTTAAGTGGGGAGAGAAATCCTTTTTGAAACATTTTTTAATGGGGGAACTGCTCAAAGAATTAAAAGAGCCTGCCACGGGCTGGATTAAGCAGCTTCCTCCATGCCAAACCCCCAAGAGTGCTCATGCAGATAAAGGGCTTTCAGCAGAGCTTCTGCAAAGCCACAGCCAAGCCAAAAGGTGACATTTTAATGGAGCACTTAAGAGAATTACAGGAATCCCATCTTCCCACTGCCTAACCTGTTTCTTACAGAATTAAACCAATTTTCTGACAGCACAAGAGGGTTGTGCAGCACCTTGCACTGCACCCTGCTCTTGCATTGGAGTTGGTGTTTATCCAGACTTCTGGTCTCTCCTCAGGCCCTTCCAAGACTCTCTGAATTTCAGGGAGAGACAATTTTCCCATGCTGGCTGTACTGAGGAATGCTGGCAGGTGAGCAGGAGGTCTGAGGCAGGCCAAAGGCATCCCAAGCCAGCACAGCATCCGTCAGCACAGGCTAATCGACCGGGAAGAGCCTCTCATTTATCTTCATTACTGCTCCACCTACTCTCAATTTACGACAGACTTGAAAAAAATGCTGCCCCCTCAGCCATCAATCCAGGCCTCCCTCCCAGAGCAGGACACACTCCCTGGGCTGGGAGGGACCCAGTGCCTGAGGACCCAGGGTCAGTCATCAACAAACACTTCTTTCGCAGAGGATCCCTGGGGGTGCCTGTAGATCATCTGTGGGCCCACCTGATGAATGACACCTCAATCAAGGGCTGCTGCCTAAATATATCCTCCCCTTGAACGCAGATGTTCGTGTACTAAAACAAAGGGGAAACTCCTGAGGAAAGGTTGTGTTTATTGGCTTGCCCCTTTTCTGGTTTCATCAGTGAGTTGCTGAAACTGGATGCTTCTAGTGCTCTGTAGAGTAACCACAGCTGAGTCAGAAGCCCTCCTAGTCCTGCCAGGTCCACCTGTGCAGCTGCATTCGTCTGTCACAGCAGTAAATAACAGGAGTAAAATACTTGGAATCGAGTGCAAGTGCTACAGAAGTACCCGGAGAAGCAGTCATGGAGACAGCCCATCAAGCTCAAGTCCACTTGACAGAAGTGAGTTTCTTCTGCAAAGGACTACGCAAGGCTACCCTCACTTATTAACAAACAATTAGCAGAAAACCACAGACTTGGAATACAAATACTCTGGTCAGCCAGAGCAAACTCCCAGTGCTTGTACAAGACAAGGTCCCACTGTGGGCTGAAAGAAATTCAGACTGGTCAGTGCCCTACTGCAGACGAGCCCCATGGAAGCTCAAGCTCCCCCCAGCACACTCATCCTTGGCAAGCAGCTGTTTTCCACCTCAAAACATTCCTGAAGGCTACAGTCTCACCAGGGAACACTCAGTCCCTCTCACAAGCCCCTCTTAAGCAATCTGCCTAAAATGGGGAGGGAGCCTCGTATGCAAGTTCATCTTCTAATTATCTTCCAGTCAAAACCATGTCTGCACTCAAGGACAAGGTGCAGAATTAATTGCTTAATGAGCTTCTGATTATATTACCTTCTCTGAAGCAGCTGGACAGGACACACAGGAGGAGGCAGAAGGCATTGGAAACACAGAATAATGTGCAGTGCCAGGAATTGGAGTTGACATCCAAATGATGCATCCTCATGGGTCTCTTCCACAGTCCAGGAGATTCTATGACTCTGATTTTCTCTACATGGGTGAGAACAGGCCTTAGCCCAGGTGCCACCACCATTTTTTGGGATGGAGGTAATGGCAAGACCCATAAGTTCTTGAGCTCAGCAATGCAGGTGAATACATTGCCAAGCTACATCCCAATCCCAACACCCCCCTGTCTCCCCATGGGCCTTTTCTGTTCTCTGTTGGGTTCATACAGGCACAGAAGGGTTTGCTCAAGTACCTGTGGTCAGTGTAATCCATGGAGGATCACCTGCTGTAACAGGCCCAGCCCCCAGAGGCAGATTTATTGTGGCATTTGGACCGACATTCACACATCCTATCAAGATGTGCGTGCAAGCTTCCACATCCCAAATTCCCGACGCCGAGTCACGGAGGGCTGCTCCAGCTCCAGCTCCAGCAGCAGGGGGGTCACTGCTCTGGAATCACAGCTGGTGAGTCAAGGCAGGAGAATGCAATAGTCACATACTGTGTCACTCTGTTTTATAACCGATGAAAGCCCACAGCCAAATTAGCAAAGAAATCAAGAGGTTGTTAAGAGAAGGGTCCAGCTGATGAGGCTGCACTGTGATTGCACAACTCAATGCATCCAGAGTAAAAGGAAAATGTTGCTGGCCAGAAATAACCAAAGGGGGGAGATCCCAACGGAGGAACACACTCATCGTGGTGGATGCACCCTTCCTGATGCTGTAAGCAAGGGTGTGTTACCTCGCCCTCCCCAATGACCAGACTCACTGAAGATCCCACCAAAGAGCACACAACAGCAGTCAAGGCTGGAAATGAGGAAAATTCCAAGCACATGAGAAGCATCCCTGATCACGGTCTTGTCCCTTTCAGTAAGGGCTGGGGTGTGTAGAGCACACCCTGCCAAGGAGGCTCCAGACAGGGAGGAGGCAACCAGGAGAGAGCTGGAAATGAAGCTGCTTTTACTCTTTATCCACCTTTATTGTGAGATGGGTGAATTCAGAGCACAGGAGTCCACCGTGATTGCTCCTGTCATCCTGACTGATCTGTAGAGATTTTTGACCCAAAAGCAGGTGACAACAGCTCATACATCACTCTGCAGCCATCCTAATTAAATGCAGACAAGAGGAGTCTGTCCCTTTTAACAGCAAAACAGGGCAGGCTGGGCACTGCTCAGAAGCTGGTAGAGTATGAATGCTGGAGAAGAAGTTTAGACTGGGTCACCCCAGAGGGTGGCTGGGCACTGAACAGTTCAACAGGGAATGGTCAGAGCCCCTTGCCAGAGCTCCAGGAGCGTTTGGACAATACTCTCCAGGCACAGGGTGGGATCACTGGGGTGTCCTGTGCACGGCCAGGAGTTGGACTTGGTCTCTGCAGGTCCCCTCAGCTCTGGATATTCTGTGATCCCAGGAGCCCCGTCTGCCCTCTGGCCTGCTGCCCACAGTGCAGAGCACAGCTCCCATGTGCTCCTGACCTGCACAGCTGGGCCCACTCCGACATCCCAACAGCCTCACTGGCTCCCCACCACACACCCCATGTGCTGGTGTTTGGGAGGTGCTGCTCCCCTCACTGTCTCATCTCTGAGCAGGGGGAAGGGCAATACTAATTTATGTCTGGCCGAGCCCCATACATACATCTCCTTTCCCTAAGGGAGTCTGCTCTCATATTTAACCTCTTCCTTCTGCTGGCACTGGAGGTGGATGATGCAGCTTGTGGAGAGGTGCAGGCACTTCCCTCTCCCCCTCCTCCTGGAATCCTCCTCTCACTTGTGGTCCTTGGGATTCACCCAACATTTTCTCATGAAAAAAAGAGAAAAAGAAAAAAAAAGAAAAAAAAAAGGAAAAGAAAAGAGGACCTCTAGACAAGTATGCATTTAATAAGCAGGGAGACAAATAAGCTCCAGTTATCCCAGCAGAATTACAACACCAGAGAACAATTTTCTGCATTCCTCTGAAGGCCTGAAGGAACCCAATTGCCTGCTCTCAGCTAAATAGGTACCAGACACCAAGTGCTCCATAAGCAAACAGAGCCCCCAAAGTGCAAAAATGAAATAAGTAAAAAGCTTCACATTACATATAAACCAGCCGTTTGCACCTTGTTATTAATGGTCTCAACTTTGACCTTTACACC